TTTTGGAAGCCCTTGTCAAGAAATTCCAATGGACTCTCATATGAACATTTGAAAATTTCCCTGTTCTGACTTTTTTCTAGTTCCCTGTCTAGAACTTGTAATGCTAATTACTCTTGCCTTGATTCCTGATTAAAGGACTTTCTTATCCCCTTAGAGACAAAAGTTATGCAATTTGCGAGTCTTTTAGAGAGACCTACTGAAGGGGGTACTCCAATTGCCTCACCCTGTGTCCCTGTTCAGCATGGAAGAAGCCAGAGCGGTCTGCATCCTGATTCTCTATCAGCAATTTGGGTAACCTCTTCAGAGGATGGTGTGATAAGACTAGGAGGTAGGAATTGGCTAGGCAGTTAGGGTAAAAAGACCCCAAAGAAAAGTAGCCAGTTTCTTGGCTAAAACTTACAATGTCCTTGGGCCTCTTAGCAACACACACCGTTCCTCTTGGCAAAGCCGCTCTATGAAACCTGTAAAGGAAAGCCTGTTGACCCCTTAGACTGTTGCAGCAGCATTCCACACTATCTGGGAAGCACTCTTAAAGGAGGCAGCTCTGGCTCTCCCCAACCTGGGGGAGTTGGAGGGGAGGGAGTGGGCATGGATTTTGATCAAAACACCTTATATGCATGTATGAAATTCTCAATAAATTATTTATTTTTAAAAAAACACACCAATGATCATAGTGAATACCTTAAAAATTTATATTCCCGCTAATCGAAATAGCCAGAAAAAAATGAATATATTTCCACACACATATGATATACCAAAGTTAAATGAAAAGGAAATAATAACTAAACAGATCTAGTCTAGGCAATGAGACTCTAAACAAAGTAAAGCCCAGGACTGAACTGGTAAATATGGAGTTGTACCAGACGTTTAAATAAGAACTAATACCAGTGTTTGTCAAACTATTCCATAAATTGGAAAGGGAAGGAATGAATACTACCAACACTATTTTTTGAAGCCACTATTAAACTGGTATCAAAACCAGATAGGACATAACAAAAAGAAAATTATAGACCTCTTTCGGTGATTAACATAGACAAAAAAGTTCTTAATTATATACTTGAAAAAATAATCTGACCTGATAAATTGACACTGGTTATTAAATGGGGGTACAGGATAAAAAGAGGACAGAGAGCTGGGTGGGTATGAAAACTGTCTTATCTGGATTCAGACTCAAATCTCTCAATTCCTTCCCTGGCTCTTAGAAGCCTTTCTTAACCTTGGCAATTCCCCTATGTTGGGGAGTCCTATTTTTGGAGGGAGTGGCACGTTGTACCATTCTCTGGGCAGTCTATTAGAAGAATGGTTCTGAATGCTGATCCTACCTGTTAGATGCTTTCTAATGTCGAGGGCACTGCTTAGAGTCTGTGTGAAAATTCCACTGCAGAACCAGACTTCTCCCAATATTTCAGTTTGCTGAATACTGTAGTTCTGATTTAAAGTTTCTTCCTCACAGTCTAGCCAGCATGATGCTGACCAGGTTTCCACATAGAGCCCTGTCACACTTGTTCTGAGTTTCCCAAAGGTGTGGTTCACAGAGGGTCTCAGGCTGCTGAGTTACATTGTGGCAAGGGTTTTTTGAAATGACAACTTGTTACTGATCTAGTGAGTGACTAACACTGAGAACTGACTGCTCAGTTCTGCTAAGAGGTTTTACTGATGTCTGCTGCTGTTGCCACCCTGGTCATAGTTTTTTAGGGGGAAGGTGGTTTCAGTTCTTTAGAATGTCTGTCACTACAAGTACAGTGCAGTATAGTATAGTTTCTTTATTTCTTTGGCTCCTGAAACCAGGAAATCAATTCCCTTCTAGTAGGAGAGGGAATTTCCTGAACTGAATTAATCCCTCTGGGACAGGCTCTGTTCTTTTCTGCTTTGTAAAGTTTCCTATTCTGTTCTGAGGATGACAGAATTATTCAGGTATTACCTACCTCTTCTGATAGCTGTTTTTCAGCTTTTGCCAGAGTAGTCCCTAGAGACTGGGAGATTATGCTTGCTTGTCTTATCCACAATTTTCCAAAGTCTTTTTGCTTCCTTGCTTTTCTTTTTGAGAAGGAGTTTCATGTAGTCCAAGATGGCCTGAAACTCAAACTTGCCATGTAGCACAGGCTGACCTTGAACTCCTGAGCCTCTCTTAACTGCAGCATCTCAAGTGCTGGGATTGTAAGCATGTGGTACAATGCCTGGCTCAATACGGACACTATTAATGTCATAATTTAGATCATTTTTAGTTGTGAGGAACTACCTTTGCATAATAGGATATTCAGTTCCATCTCCAGGCTCTACCCACTAGATGCCAGTAGGACCTCAGCTGTAGCAATAAAAAATGTTTCTACTTATTGATATCTCAGTGTATAAAAATCACCTTACATTGAGAATTACTTAACCTATTGAACTGATTTTTCAAAATTCCTTCCGCCTCCCAACTTTTTGTGACTATAGCATCATTAGATTTATATAACTAGAAAAAACTCACAGCATTGGAAGTTACTCACAGCATTGGAAGTTACCCACAGCAAACCTGCACAAGACTAGTTCTATTAAATTTCCATCATAGATGGAAGAAGGGGACGAGTCCCTAAACCTCCCTGCGAAGTTATAGGCAGTTAGTGGTTACTAAGAAAAGGGGAGTTACAGTTCTTCAGTGGTATAGTCACTGGTCAATTGCCTCTCTTCAAGTAAATAACACCCCATCCATGCTTATGCAAGCAACAATTATTAAATCCAGTAGGGCATGAAAGTAGGAGAAAGACATGTTGAGCTCAGAGGGAGGGTGAGGGGGCTAAAAGGACAATGGGAGGACGAATGAGAAAAACATTATCTATGAAATTGTGAAGGAATAATTAAATAATTTAAGAAAAGATTCATAGTTTTCTGTGAATGGGGAGGGGGAACAGGGATGATGTTGTGTAGCAATTTCTTCCAAGATAAAACGTTTTATCTTGGAGAGCAGTTTGTTAAGACACAGGATGCTCTGAAGGTGATGCAACATTCAATAGCTTCAAGAAGTCCCTGAAACCGACCAGATTCATAAGCCCCTCCCTTCCCAAGCATATATAAGCAGTAAAGACTACCAAGAGAGTATCAGACCAGACTAGCGCATGGAAGAGGTTCAGTACAACTGAGCTGCCTGGAAAGGACACTCTGCAACCTGTTGCGTGGCCTCCAGGTTGTGCATGCTCCAGGTTTCCAGCTTTCTGAGCTGTTATCCATGCTGGGGAGGACTTTTGGTGATACAGCTGTCTTGAATCATTTCTGCTCTTATAGTAACTCCTCACACATATTCCTGTAAGTAATGCCATTAAAACTCATTGGTTCACCAAGTTTGACTTCCTCAAAGCATATTACCTCAGTGTATAAGGTAGTATCCTTACTTTGGTCTATCTATTTACCCCAAGAATAGGGTAAATAGTAGGTGTGATGGTTAATCTCGATCATCGACTTGAAGGATTTCAGAATCACCATGGAGACAAATCTCTGGTCATGTATGTAATGGATTTTCTTGATTAGTTTAATTCAGAAGGGAAGACCCTATACATGAGGAGTACTATTCCTTGGGCAGAGGGCCCAGACTGAATAAAGAGGAGTGGTGAGCTCCGCAGCAGCATTCATCTCTCTCTGCTACCTGAACGGATGCAGCATGGCTCGCTGTATCATGCTCCTGCTGCCACGCTGTCCTGATGGGCTGCACCATCAGACTAGGAGTCAAAATAGATCTTTTCTTTGTTACAGTGCTTTTGTCATACAGTTTGTCACAGCAATGAAGAAAAATAACTGAGAGACAGTCATACAGTGAAAAATGACTTTTCTTTGAAGTGATGAAAATGTTCTAAAATTTATGGAGTTCATGGTCACACAACTATGTAAATATACTAAAAACTACAGAATTGAAAACTTAAAACAGATAAATGGCACAAGACATAAATTGCCATAAAATAAAAACCACAGAATGAATCAGTAGTACACAGAATTAAGTTGCAAGGTGAACTTAAGACTGTAAGGCAGAGATTCCTGTGCCTTTTACATCTGTTTTTCTAAGGAAACACACTGCATTTCCAAAGGATGTTTCTACCACACTAAATATGAAACTGAAAATCTGGTGTCATTCTACTAGGACAAAAATAATGACAGCCATCAAATTGAGTCTTTTTTAAAAGTACCTAAAAATTCTGACATGAAAGAATATTAAAGACAAAATACATGGGCTGAAGAGATGGCTCAGAGTTTAAAGAGCACTGACTACTCTTGTAGAAGACCCGGATTTGATTCCCAGCACTCACATGGTGGCTAACAACTGTCTATAACTCCAGTTCCAAGGAATCTGACACCCTCTTCTGACCTCTGTGGGCATTGCATGACACAGGTGCACTTAGACACATGCAGGTGATACAATCATACACATAAAAAATAAAAAATAAAAAAATAAGAAAACAAAGTACAGGCTGACATGCTCAGTGGGTTAAAAATGCTAAGCACACATGAGGACCTAAGTTTGGATGCCTAGTGCATCCTTGTAAAACAAACCCAAGTTGTGCACCTGTAACCCAGTGTATAGGGGGTAGGGGGCAGTGACAGGATCACTGAAGCTTGCTGGCCACCTGCCTATGTGGAGAATGATGAGCTCCAGGTTCAGCGAGGCACCTTACCTAAAGGGAATAAGGCAGAGAGAGATAAACAGAAAAGCATGGTATCCTTCTTTGGCCTCAAATCTAAGCCACACCAGAGGTGGCGGTCTTTAATCCTAGTTACTTGGATGACTGAGGCAGGATGATTTCAACTGTTCACAGTAAGCCTGGGTAACTTAGGGAGAACCTGTCTCAAAAAAGACAAGACAAAAGAAAATAACAAGAGCTGGGGCTACAGCAGAAGTGTTTCTCGGTACGTGCAAGGCCCTAAATTCAACCCACAGTACTGAAAAAGTCTAAACCATTTAACAGGAGGGAAATGAAAGCCTGAACACTGGCACATTAAAAAAAATGTATTTGGTAACAAGGAATTATAAATAAGCCAGGCCGGCAGGGGACTAAAAAATGCCAGATAATTTTTTTGTTTTTCCTCTCCATGGAAATCTTTAGTAAAAGGCAAAAGATTTACACGATCTGAAGAGAAACCAGAGCATAATGCCAAATAATTTAATTTTCTTAAAATGTTCTAAAACATTACAGTTTAAAACAAAGAGAAAAGACAATCTTTAGTTAAAAGATAAAAGAAGGTCAGACACTGTGGTTGGCACATGCTTTTAATCCCAGCATTTGGGAGGCAAAGGCAGGCAGATCTCTGAGTTTCAGAAAAGCCTGGTCTACGCAGCAAGTTCCAGACCAGTCAGGGCTACACATTCTGTCTCAAAAAAAAAAAAAAGACAGAACAAAACATAAACCCTGCAAAGAGGCTGATTTTTCTGGTTAGGATTTAGCACAACTATGTCCCTAAAGATTTAGAACAATGTGGTCCCAATTTTTGTGTTTGTTATTTTGTTTTTCATTCTTGTATTTCTGAAAAAGGATCCCACATTTGGCCCAAAATTTGCCATGCAGCTCATGCTGGGCAACAAACTCATAATGACCCTGTCTCAGCCTCCCATGTGCTGAGATGATAGGTGTGTGCTATCACACTCAGTTTCCAGGTTCTACTGAATTTTTAAAAATGTGAACACAGGGCTAGAGAGATGGCTTAGCGGTTAAGAGCGCTGACTGCTCTTGCAGAGGACCTGGGTTTGATTCCCAGCACCCACATGGCAGCTATGAACTGTCCATAATTCCAGTTCCAGGGGAATCTAAAAGCTCTCTTCTGACCTCCGTGGCATTGCATGGCCATGGGTGCTCTCACATACACACAGGCAATACATTCACACACATAAAAAATAAAAATAAATAAAATATTTTAAAATGTGAACACAGAAGTATAGGGGGAAAATCCAGAAATATGTATTATTCAGGTAATAATAGTGGTAATATCCTAGCAATGGAAATATATTTGTATTTGCTTTCTTCCCCTAATCTCCTAAAATATATCAGTAGTCTCAGTGCCCCATCCCCTCGCCAGGGTCTCACTATGCAGTTGTGGATGGCCTCAAACTCACTGTGTAGACCAGGCCGACCTCAAACTCTCATAGATCCTCATGTTTCTGCCCCCTGGGTGTTAGCACTAAAGGTATGGCCACCATGCCTGGCTAAAGTATTTCTAAAGAAATTATAAACTTGCTTAAAATGAGTTAAATCCTCTTCAAGCAAAGCACTTTTGGTCCAAATAGCAAACAATTCCCAAAAATAATGTTCTTACCAGAAATAAACTCAATTAAAATACACAGTCACACCCCTGCCATTGTTGACACCACCAGCACCACAAGAAGAAGCCACCAAGAGCAGGTTTACAACTATACATTTTTCAGATTATGCAATTATCAGGCCTAAAAGCTAAAATTAGTGAAAAAGAAGATATAAAAGAACTAAACACACTTTCTAGAAATAGAAGCAACAATCAATGAGTTAAACATAAGATATGATACAAGGAACAAATTAGTAAAATAGGAGTTCTGAATAAGATGAATTATAGCAAAAGGCTGATAAAACAAATTTCAATAAAGACATAATAGGAAAGTATAATGTACATTGAATACAAATATCTCAAGGACACAAAATTAATGAAATAGGAAAGAGGCACACCATTAAAAGAGAAACGGGCTAAGGATATAGCTCAGTGGCAGAGTGTCTGCTTAGCATACACAATGTCCTGAGTTTGATTCCCCAGCAGTGCAAGAAGAGAGGGAGGAAGGAGGAAGGAAGTCAAATGGTGGGACAATGTTACAAAAGCACCAAAGAGGCAAAAGCTTATAGTAAAAACAAATATTAGACTAACAGACTTCTCTAAAGCAAAAAAGAATCTTACAGAGAAGAATAAAATCTATAAATTACTGAGAGAAAAATACTTTCCAGAACTGCATACCCAACAAAACTATTAGGAATAAGCGTGTGGGGTCAGCAATTAGGAGGCAGAGGGTGAGGGATCTCTGTGAAATGGAGGCCAGCCTGGTCTACATAGAGTTCCAGGCCAGCTGGGGCTATACAGGGAGACTCCATCTCAAAACAAAACAAAACAAAACAACAACAAAAGTCGTGAAAAATAGTAGAGTTAAAGTAGTCTAAGGTTATAGTAATATTCTATAAAAGCATAAAGAGACTGACTAACTTTGGCTTTTGCTATGTTAAGTATGAAAGGTATTTTGAGAGTGTTTTCTAGGGAAAAAGACAGAATATAAAGATATCGAACTAAGGGGAACATTGAGGAAGAAGGGCCAGAAAAGAATTTAAGAGCCAGAGTAGTGCAGTGAAATGCTGTCTTCTGGACATAAACTGGCCCTTACACCCAAGAACTCAACTGCAACTATGATTAACTGCACAAGACCTGCTCAAGATCCAGCCAACAAGACCAGCCAACATTCTGGCTGGCAGCACTAACTGGACTCAATGTGGTATAAGAAAAAAAGTGGGCGGGGGATGTGTTGAAGGATTGGGGGTAGGACTAGGAGGGTGGAGTTGGGGTGGATACGATCAAGATACATTGTATATATTTATGAAACTGTCCAAGATTAAATAAAAGCCATTCCTAAAAGTATTTAAACACACAAGAAAAAAAGTAGAAATAATGATCCAATTCTCCAGACAGATTTAACAATTTTATGCTCGTCTGCACCTGTGAATATTGCCTCAAAATATATAAAGGAAAACTGCTGTATCTTTCTTTATAAAAGGGAACTTCAACTCATTTTTCTCAATTGCCAGTAGCTCAAGGCCATGCCAGGTAATTATTAAAAAATGCTAGAGCCAGGCTTGGTGACTTATGCCTTCAATCCCAGCACTTAGGAGGCAGAAGCAGGCAGATCTCTGTGAGATCAAGGCCAGTTTGGTCTACATAGTGAGTTCTAGGCCAGCTGGGGCTACAATACCCTGTCTCAAAACAAATAAACAAACAAAAAACTGAAAAGAAATGTCAAAGAATCAGAAGCATACAAACCATGTTCTCTGACCAAGAAAAAATATTTAAAAAGTGCCTGAAAACCTGTGTATAATTTAAAAACACACTTGTCCATAACTCATGACTGTAATAGATCACAGCATAAATTCAGAAACAAACATTTAAAAATACACCAAATAAAACTTTGTGTAATGCAACCACAACATTTCTAGGAGGTATATTCATAGTATTAAGAATGTTCAGATTAGCCAGGCGTGGTGGCACATGCCTGTAGTCCCAGCACTTAGGAGGCAGATCTCTGTGAGTTCAAGGTCAGCCTGGTCTACATACTGAGTTCCAGGACAGGTGGGGCTACAGGGAGACCCTGTCTCAAAAAAAAAAAAAAAAAAAAAAAGTTCAGGTTTACTTGCATTGAGCGACATCTGGGTACAAGTGCTTGACTGAAAAAGACAACATATATGACAGAATGCATAAAATTTGGTGGTGACGGGGGCATGGATGGTGGAGGGGGTTATCTAAATTTGATTAAGATCTATTGTGTGAAACACAAAAACTCAATTAAAAATAGTTAAAAACACAAAAAAGAACGCTCAGATTAGCTGGGCATGGTAGTGCATGCCCTTACCTAGCATTCTGGAGGCAGAGGCAGGTTTATCTCTGTGAGATTTCTGTGAGATCTAAGTGAGTTCCGGGCCAGCTGGGGCTATTGGGAGATCCTGTTTTTAAAAAAAAACAAAACAGCAAAAGAATGCTCAGATTTAATTGAAATATACATTCAATGTAAGTCTAAAATAGAAGAAGAAAAAAAAAAGCACACACCTTAAAAACATTATTCAGGTAACTACCAAAGTATTTCGTTTATGCACATTCTCAAGAAGCGAGATTAATTTAACAATATAAATATGTTAGTTATTAAAACATTAGTTTTAAAAAAGGACCACTTACCTGGTAATAAAATTTTATCTGTTTCACCAAAATGGACAGATTATGAATTCTAAGTGAAGCATCATTGTTGACTTTTTTATTTACTCTCTGACTCTCCGCTTTAGGATTACTGAAAGAAATTTGAAAAAAAAAAAAAGTATTTTTAATTACATTGAAACAGGTTAATGTAAAAAAAAATAGATGATACGAAACAGATGATTACTTTGATATATAGTCTGCACTCCTAATTAATATAAATGCATCTAATATTCCTAATGTGGGCTATTAGCCCAATAATGGTTATTTAATATTCACTCAGTAATGTAAATTATATTTCATCAGAAAATATTCAAGATAAATTAAAAAATAGATGATGCAAGTTGATCCTCTTGGAAAAACTTTGTAGATGAATGAAAACAAAGGGCTACATGATGTGAAGAAAAAAAGTGTAGTATAGTCAACAATGGTTACAATGGGAATGAAGTCAAAGTGGGAACGTAAATCAGAGGTTGAGGCCAGGACACAAGCTATGTATGAGCTAGTTAATGCATCAAGGCAAAGAGGCTGACCTGCAGAAAAATGTCCCCAGATGAAATGGCAGAAACAAAGATCCTCGTTGAAGGGTTAAGAATACCATAAAGTGGCCTGCTAAACAGTTGCTGAGACAAAATTAGTCTACAGTTACACAATTTAAACTTTCACACAAGTATAAAAAAAGTCAAGACATTAACAGCTATGAGATGAACAGAAAGAGCTTTCCTCCAATCACTTCACTTTACACTATTTTTTCATTCACTGCATCCCTAATGCTTTCCATTCCTTCCTGTACAGAGTAGACTCAATGGTGCTTTATTCAACACTTTAATCTCCCTAAAATCTTAGTTATGGCTCTAAACAATTTGGCATTTGTAGACTATAAGAAATTAAAACAGGAAAAACTTGAAATTGTTATCAACTCATTTAAAAGTAACAATAACCATGCTAATATCAGACAAAAATTAGTATGAGTGGGTTTTTTTTAATTTTATTTATTATTTTTATTTTATATATGTGTGTATTACCTGCATGTGGGTAAGTGCACCCATGTTGTGCAATGCCTACAGAGGTCAGAGAGGCTGTCAGATCCCCTGGGACTGGAGTTACAGACAGTTGTTAGCTGCCATGTGGGTGCTGGGATTCGAACCTGGGTCTTCTGAAAGAACAACCAGTGTTCTTAATCGCTAAGCCATCTCTCTAGCCCCGAATGGCATTGTTTTGTTTGCAAATCTCTTTTTTAAGAAATGGATTCTCTTCTTTGTTTTTGCATTTAACCTATTGTCTATTTTAGTTCAAGTCCATGATAAAATTTCAGCCTCACCCAAATGGAGGAGCCTATAGACTCCTGAAGGGATCCTCAGTCCACACACTGAGAACTGCTTTTATTTCTACAGTTCTCTTGCCAGCATTCCCAAGATCTTGCTCCTATGTCCTTTGCTCGCACCCACACTTTCAATCCACAGTTTTGGATCAACTTAACCAGCTCACAGAACTACAACCAACCTAAGCTAAAGTAGGAAAGAATAGCTATTTTAAGGACAGAAAGCAAAATTGCCATCTTGTCATAAAAGAGTCAAACCAGGATGGGGGTTAGAAAATTGGTTCAGTAGTTAAAAGCACTTGCTGCTCTCACAGACAACCTGGGTTCAGTTCCCAGCTCCCACATGGCAGCTCACAACTTTATCTATCTGTAAACTCCAGACTGGGGTATGTGTGTGTGATGCCCTCTTCTGGTCTCTGTGGGCACCAGGCATGTATATGGTACATATACACATGCACGTAAACATTTATACACATAAAATAAAAATACATAAATCTTAAAAACTGTAATAAAACATGCAAAATATATGAAAAGTTTGGACAGAAGGTAACGCAAAGCTATAATCCATACCTAGGTCCTCTCTAGTGAGGGAGTAAGTACTTCCCAGGATGAAATAAGGGGTAGGGATCAGCCCAAGTCTAACTGAACACAAGGAAAGAAAGCTAGAGGTCGACAGACAGACATGACTGAAAGCTTCAGTAAAGAATCAGGCAGGAAGGGGTTAAACTAACAAAGAGTTCCAAGTATCTACTTTTAAGATTTCAGCTAAGTGTTAAATTGTGTAAACACCCCCAAAATATGCATAAGCTTAAGTAGAAAACAAGGACAAGAAAACTATAATTCAAACAATCCCCCAAACTCACGATGCAGAGGAAGTTCTAACCAGCAAGAATAGAAGAAAGATATTTATGAATATCCAGAGCAGTTAGCAGAGACCTCAAAGTAGGACTAACTAGTATCATGATGGTTGGCCTTAACTGTCCACTTAACACAATCTAGAATCTCCTTGGGAAGACAGTCTCAATGAAAGATTGTCTACACTAGTTGGCTACTGGCGTGTTTGTAGGGGATTGCCTACTTCACTGATGTGGGAAGACCTAACTCTCTGTGGGTGGCACCATTCCCTAGGTAGGGGATCCTCAAATGTTCAAGAGTGAAGAAATCAGGCTGAGAACAAGCAAGGAAGTGAACAGGCATTTATTCTATCTCTACTCTTGCATGTAATGTGTGAGCTGCCTCAAGTTCCTGCCTTGATGTCCCTGTAATGATGGCTGTGACCTGTAACTGTAAGCCAAATAAACAATTTCTCCCCTGAGCTGCTTTGTGCCAGGGTACTGTAGTACAACAGAAATGAAACTAGGACTCTGGTGTGAAAAAATGACTCAAGAACCGCCAACAAACCTTAAAACCAATCCTTCAATATAAGTTGACTGCAAGTAAAATTATTCTCTGTGAAAACAAAATTTGTCACTTTTTGAAGATCTAGAAACTCAAAAATATAATGGTCACAATGTCCAGCATACAATAAAAAATTACTAAAAATAAAAAAAGAGGGGGTGGTGGCAGCTGGAAAGATGATGGCTCAGCAGTTAAGAGCACTGGCTTCTCTTGCAGAGGACCTGGGCTCAGTTCCCAGCACATACATGGTAGCTAACAACCATTCATAATTTCAGTTCCAGGGAAACCAATGTCCTCTTCTGGCCTCCACAGACACTAGGCGTTCATGTGGCACACTTACATACATGCAGGCAAAACACTCATACAAGTAAAAATAAAATCAAAAAAGAAAAAAGTAATCCATAACCTTTAAATGGAATTTAAAATAGCCACTATAAGCCTTAAGAGTATGACAATGGTAGAGTACTTGGTGAGCAGTCCAGAGCCTAACATTCAATCCCAAACACACAGGAGGGACAGGACAAAAATAAATACACTAAAACTATCATAAAAACACAAACATGAGTACACACTTCCCCCTCCCTACCATCACAGGCCCAGACAGGTAAAGGATCCCCTGGCCTGTCCCTGTCTGGTGCACACTTCCACTGCCCCACCAGCCCTGACTTAGAGAGGAAAGAGGTCCTGTCTTCTGACTTCAGGGCATAGTTTAGCCACTCAGCTTACTCATCCCAGCCAAACAGGTTAGACATCTCTATCAACAGGGATTTTTGAGATTTAGCTCAGTCGTAGAGCACTTGCCTAGCAAGCCAAGGTCCAGGGTTAGATTGAGTTCCAGGCCTGCTTGGGCTACAAGGAAAAAAAAAAAAAAAAAGACCAAAATAACAACAACAAAAAACTATCAATAGAACATATAAGATATGTAGGACATTACGAAAAGATCAATTTTAAAAATTCTGGGCACAGAAAAAGAAGAATCACATGCCAAAGTCATGGAAAAGACTCAGTAAAATCATAAGAGAAATTTTTCCAAATCCAGGGAAAGAGATGCTGTGCTAGAGAGCTTTATTTGTCAACTTGACTCACTGGGGAAGAGGAAGCCTCAATTGGGGAATTTCCTCCATTGGATTTGCCTGTGGCCATATCTATGGGGCATTTTCTTGATTGTTAAGTTCTGTGGGAGGGCCCAGCCTACTCTGGGTGGTGCCACCCCTGAGAACATGGTCCTGTGTTGTATAAAAAAGCAGGTTGAGAACAGGACAGGGGAGAAAGCAAGTTAGCAGTGTTCCTCTATGGTCTTCAGTTCCTGCCTCCAGGTTCCTGACCTGAGTTTTTACCTTGGACTCCTTCAGTAATGAACTGTGACCTTCCTCCCCAAGTTGGTATTGGTCAGAGTGTTCTGTCACAGCTATTGAAAGCAAATTAGAACAGAAGTTGGTACCTGAGAGCAGGCTGTTGGCTGTGAGGAACCTAACCATGTGAGTTTTTGGAGGAATGTAGAAGACCTGGAAGTTGGAGTAGAAAAGCAGCTAACTGCTGCTTGGCCATTCCAGTAGGAGCCTGTTAGAAAGTAGTGCTGAGAGCAAAGTAGTTCCAGAGAAAAATAAGGACATAAGCAACAACTGGGATATTTTGTCCAAAGAGTCTGGTTGGAGTCTGCCCACAGCCTAAGAGCTTGCCTGAGGGCAAGTTGAAAAGTAATGGAATAATTTCTTTGGCAGAGTAAATTTCAAGACAGTTTCCTATACAAATGGTACCATGGCTATTAATGGTGAATACTATGCAGATCTACAGTGAAAAAGAGCAAACAGGGCAAAAAGAATTCATGCAGAATGTACAGTTTGGATTTTAAAAAAAGCACTAGTAAGATTAATGCTGGAGAGACTCTATTTGAAAAGGAGATTAGTATTTAAGGAAAGTCCTAGAAATTCCCTCTTAAACAATGGGAAATGTACCTTCAGGGCAAGACCATACTCAGGTAAGCCTCCAATTGAAAGTTTTCTACTCCTAGAAAACCACAGCAGAGAAAAGCTGTGAATGTAGATGAAGCAGGCTGGAGTTCATCCCAAACTTGGCAGTTGTCATTCACTGATGTTGGCTTTAGAGGCATCATCAGTTCTTCCTCCACGGTTTCAGAGAGCCACTGAGGCCAGGCCCTGTGCAGCAGGGTTTCCCCTGCATAAAGAAGGTCCCAACGGGTCACTGCGTGAAGCTGAAGCCTTGACTGCAGTGGAGATCCCAAGAAGATGCCAGAGCTGTGAGACATCTGCCAAGGAGAGCTACCTACAGGGAGTGGTACCAGCCCAAGATAGAGATGTGTGCTGTATGCAGCAAAGTTGGAGGGGCTGAGCCATCTAACTCCACAGAAGTCAAGT